CCTCCAGGCGATCCGCAAAGCCCTTACAACCTGGCTGTTCCGACAGGCCTAGGGCTAAAGAACTTTGCCCCCCTTCTCGAATGGTATGGTTGTTGTGTGTTTTTTAAATTTTTGTATTGTTATGTTCGTCTTTTTATTCCCCTGTTTGTACCCCTTTCCCTGATTGAATTGTGAGCCGCCCTGAGTCCCCTTCGGGGAAAAGGGCGGCATATAAATGTAATAAATCCAATCCAATCCAATAATGGTAATATCATTCAGAGATGCAGATTTTTTTCCTGTGCTTACAGTACAATTTCTTACGACTATGCTATTCAAAAGTAGAATAAAATATCTAGAGATTGTGGAGATTATTCCCTTTCATTTCTCCTCTTTGGTTTAGGTCTCCGACAGATTTCTCAGAGCAAAGTTGCTGTTCTTCTATTAGCTGGTGGACAAGGGACAAGGCTTGGTGTCTCGTATCCCAAAGGAATGTATGATGTAGGGTTACTCTCCCATAAAACGCTGTTTCAGATCCAAGCAGAGCGTATTTTAAAACTACAGCAGCTAGCCGAAAAGCAATATGGCCTTCAATGTGTTATTCCATGGTAAGGATTTCTTGTTGTTTCAAAATGAATGCATATCCTAGATGTATTTGTGTCTGACTTAATAAATTATGATTCTCTTGTTGGTCTGGACAGGTATATAATGACCAGTGGCAGGACAATAAAACTGACTGAAGAATTTTTTCTAAAACACAAATATTTTGGTTTGAAGAAGGAGAATGTGATTTTCTTCAAACAAGGGATGCTGCCTGCCATGGACTTCAATGGGAAAATTTTCCTGGAAGAAAAAGGCAAAATTTCTATGGCCCCAGGTAATATGTAGATTTGTTTGATTTACAGGAATGAATTAGTAACTCGGGATTGAAGCAATCTTTAAAATCTTGTTTGGGTAATTATACACAGTCTAACAGTGTGGAGATATAGGCAGTTAATCAGATTACTCTGAAAAGGTTGATTATTTTTGTATATTGGAGTTAGCAGGAATCTCTACAATAAAATCAGCAGGGCACAACGTTATTTGAGTAGTAAATATCATTCCACAGTCAATTGGAATTAGATGGATTTTCATCGGTTTGATATTTGTAATTGAAAGAAAGTCTTAATCTAAAGTTTGAAAATGTATTGTTTCCTTTATATATAAAATGCTTAAGTAATTCCCAAAGTTTGTAAAATATTATTGAAAGTGTATTTCAAACTATGTTAAGAGAAAGTTAAAGAAAAAGATGCGTTAGCTTAAAAAAAATCTTAAAAAAAAGATTTAAACAACAAGAAGAAAAATATTCTATGAGAGTAACTTGGAAGGAGTCATCTAAATTTAATGAGCTAATTGGAGTTAGTTGGAATTTTATTGGTCTGAAAGAACTTTAAAGTATGTAAGAGGAAGTTTAAAAAAAGATGTATTAGAATGTTTTAATTTTAGAAATGGTTTTAAAGAAAAGGTTAGTGTTTTAAAATGAATTTAAAAAATCCCTTTAAGGTTAAAGAATCTGAAACAATACTGAATTTTGTTAATATAAATGGTTGTAGTTTACAAAGATTATTATGTGCAAATACAAATACTTAAATACTACATCAATAAAATAAATCAATAAATTGCTTTTGCCAATTAGATAGATTTATTATTATAGAAATGTCTAGTTTTATACTAATGTGTAAAAATAAAAAGTCGAGATTGTAATGTTATCTTGAACTGTACTAAAAGGAATCGGAAGTCAACAACTTTTTCTTTTTTCCTATACCCCATATTTTCTTTCCCCCTTTCTTTTTTCTTCCCTTAATTTCCTGTTTTTATTTTCATTTGCATTTTATACATTGAGAAAACTAAAAAAGTTATATATATAAGGAAAAAATCAATAAGCTCTATAAAACAGTATTAAAATTTTCCATAAAAACAAACAGGAAATGATACTGATTTGAAAACTCTATTCAACAGTAAGCAAGTACAAATAGTCCTTATCAAACAATTACAGTTCGTTCCAGAGAAATAGTCACTAAGAATAGAATAGAATTTTATTATTTGTATGCCGCCCTTCTCCGGGAGGACTCAGGGCGGCGAACAATTCAAGGGG